TATATATATATAATGAAAATATACAAACTAATTAAAATTGGTTTATTAGAAACTTCTAATCCCAATAAGGCCAGTGAAAATGTTTGTATTTAAGTGTCAGACAACCGCAAGTTTCGAGATATGTTACATAATGTTCTAAAAATATGAAAAGACTTTAATATTTATATTCATAAGCCATCTTCCTCGTACAAGTCAACACATTTACCGAAAACGCATTGCAAGCATATAATATACAGAATTAAGAAGTTTTATCTTTTTCAGAACAGTACCAACCAAGATTTTATCATATCCTTTTAATATTCTGGGCATATTAAGAACACGTAATCCTAAATGAATTTTCCTGAAAAAAAAGATATGTGTAAAAAAGACAAAGACATCTACTTAGGAAATTATATACTATTTCAAAATATAATACTTGTTTCAAAATATATCTAAATTTTTAGTAATTTGAAACTATCAGTTTGTGAGAAGTAGAAATTTTATTTTCTAATAAAGGTTACTCTACAAATTTTATTATGACAACTTTCAATTCAAACCTTATTAGAGACGTAGTATTATTTGGTACAAGTATCTAATTCTCATTTAATAATGTTGTAATTTTTAGGGTTTGTAAATAAAATTAATCTTCCCGGAGTGACATACTACAAGAACTTAATCAAAGAACTAAAAGATAACGGCATCGAGCCCCTGATCACCTTATACCACTGGGACCTGCCGCAACCCTTACAGGACTTAGGGGGATGGACAAATGAATTCGTAGTGGAAGCTTTTGCAGAATACGCGAGGCTATGCTTCGAACTCTTTGGAGATGACGTAAAGTACTGGCTAACATTTAACGAACCAAAGCAAATTTGTCCACCTATCCCAGGAACTCCATCCCCAGGGATAGGGGAGTATATATGTGCTCACCATATACTCAAGGCTCATGCTAGGGTTTGGCACACATATGACCAAGAATTTAAAGCTACGCAGAATGGTACATATTTTAATTACATTGAGATAGTTTAGTTAGTCTCAATTATTTCGATATTTTCACTTTCTATGTTGGGACATTCAAACGTTTAGGAATTTTTTATTAGCTTGTTCTGTGAGAAATTGTCGTTTCAAAAGTTATAGACAAGTCGTGAAAACAATTAATTTGTAAGTATACGAATTAACTAAACAGATATTATCTAATTAATGAATAACTGAAAAAATACAATATCATAATAATGTAGACAACTAACAAAAGACAAAGTAACTACCTAAAACGATATATGTATTTTGAGGAGTATAATGTTTAAATGAAAATTGTTGATTCAATCGAGACGATGAGGAATAGCTTGTAATTACATAACTTCATTATTTATTTATTGTTGTTAATAAATTTGTCATTTTTAAAATANATGCTTCGAACTCTTTGGAGATGACGTAAAGTACTGGCTAACATTTAACGAACCAAAGCAAATTTGTCCACCTATCCCAGGAACTCCATCCCCAGGGATAGGGGAGTATATATGTGCTCACCATATACTCAAGGCTCATGCTAGGGTTTGGCACACATATGACCAAGAATTTAAAGCTACGCAGAATGGTACATATTTTAATTACATTGAGATAGTTTAGTTAGTCTGAATTATTTCGATATTTTCACTTTCTATGTTGGGACATTCAAACGCTTAGGAAATTTTTATTAGCTTGTTCTCTTGTCTTCAATTTCGAACGAAATAAATATGGGTTGTCATTTAAAAAAAGAAATTGTCATCGCTGCCGTAAATGGATTATCGAAAAAAAAATTTGTCCACATAACAAGGTGCCCTGGATCAAATAAAAATCGACGGGTCTCACCGTTTTTCGAAAAAAAAATTGTTTAACGAAAATATTAATTTTATGCAGAACTTTTTTACCACGCTGTATACATATACGTATACGTATATACTACCTAAGTTACTTAAATTTTACAACTTACCTTCGATGTGTGTTTATAAAACCGGCAAGTAAATGGAAATTTTACAAGCCGTTCATTTTCATTAGACAAATAACACCTGCGATAAACTATAGCAACACCAAATTCCTTGCCTTTAAGAAACTCTGTTATAATTTAAGATAACATGTTACAAACTATTTTATGTTGTACTTACCCGTTATATACGTGTTTGCATTTGTTTCATGTTTATAAACCTAAAAGACATTTGTGAGTTATATGTGTTTTTGTCTAATACTGACTCTTGTTTATAATAATTTTGCATAATTATTATTAAAAATGTCGACACAAAAGCGTCTTCAAAAAACAACAAAATTGCAATACTAGAATTTGCTAAAAATGGTCTTAATTCCTCAATAACATGCATGTTATATCTTAACAGATAACGTTAACAACCCTGAAATAACATAACTGTTATTATGATAAAATGGGATACATACTCGGCCTGATTATCTAATTAATGAATAACTGAAAAAATATAATATCATAATAATGTGACAACTAACAAAAGACAAAGTAACTACCTAAAACGATATATGTATTTTGAGGAGTATAATGTTTAAATGAATATTGTTGATTCAATCGAGACGATGAGGAATAGCTTGTAATTACATAACTTCATTATTTATTTATTGTTGTTAATAAATTTGTCATTTTTAAAATATGTACAATAATTATTGTTTTCAGGGCAAGTATCAATCACTATTGATGCTAGTTGGCAAGAACCTGCGTCTGACAGTCAGGAAGATATAGCTGCTGCTGAAAGAACATTACAATTCACTGTAAGTTGAAGCAATTACATCATTATACATATTATAGATACGATGATCGTTTTGGAGAGGATACCTCTGATTTTCACATGGCACATCACAATGTTCGATGTTGCCACCTACTATATTAACATAAAAGCGAGTTTGTCATATTAAAGAGTCACGCACATACAAAAAACGTTGTTCGTGATGCAGCTGTGAATGATCATTCTTCACCATTACTGATTTTTCAGTCCAGTACAAATGTATTTTAAATATCCCCAGAAAAAGCCTGAACAACTTAAGTTGCGACAACGAACTAACGAGGGTTCAAACAAAAACGTGGTCAAGTTGGTTCTGAACATTTGGACGTAGGGTGTAGCGTATAGCAAATGAACTTAAACGTCATCTGTCAAAGCGCTATATCGCCGCTATCAATTTGAATATTTTCGTTTTAAAAAGCGTTTAAAATGGTGTTTTCTCAAGAACAAAAAGTGTTTATCATAGAGTCCTACTTTAGAAATGGACGCAAGATTGATGGAATATGGAAGTATTCTATTGAGGAATGTTTCATAGAATTTCAAAATCAATTTCCCGGCGTTGTTGAGTACAAAATTTTTCAAAGTGCAGTTCAGCGTTGTGTTAATGTTTTTCGTGAAACGGGCAGTGTAACAAGAAAAGAAGGAAGCGGCCGACCTAAAAAGCGGACTGAAGAATTAAAAGAAAATGTCCAACAAATAATGGAAAATGCGCCAAGAACTTCTGTACGTGTTTTATCACAAATGGTGGGAGTATCAGTCGGTACCTGCCACACAGTG